ACTCAGCACTATTGCAAACTCTTTAAAACCCCAGAAAGTAGCAAGGGAAACTTCATTTTTGCAGCATTGTGATGAAATTAGAGCAAAATTCGAACTTTGGAAGTAAATCAGCTAAACCCATAAGAAGAATTGTTGAGTATTACCGTTGAATCCACGAACTGCAGCCGCCACGATCTCCTTCGTCCTTGCTTCATACACTTGCACAGTTTTACAATCTTCTCTAAAAATCCTATCTGTTATAAAGAGAAGAGAGAGATTGGGCATGGAAATCGCAACCAGGAGAAGAAATCGGAGAGAGAAAATTGAAAAGTAAAAAGAGTACCAAATTCGAATGCCGGAGAAGGGTGATTGGGCATGAAAATTGAATCGGAAGAGATCTTCCATGGACTCGTCTTCGCGTCCTCCGATGAAAGCGGCCGCGCTCTGACAGAGACATGGATTCTGTCCATATCTCCGATTGTCTTCTCCGGCGAAGAAAGACCTAAATCTCAGGTGTTTTGAAATTTTCCCTCCCATCTCTTTTGTTTAACCTTTAAATTATTGTTCGAATTTTAAAAACCGGATCGAACCGGTTTGGTTAATAAACCAGACAATGGTGCGCATCTCCGTGGAATGCGTTAATTATTGCAAATATTCGCCTCTTTTGTATTAAATGTTTTTTTTTTTTTATCAACTTTGTTTGTTAAGTTTGGAACTACTTTGGATATTGGTTAAAGTGTAATTTACATCCTAAAAACAAAATTAAGGATAATTATAGGGACGAATTAGATTTGGATTAAAAAAAAAAAAAGATACTCTAGGTGATATTTATGAACGAATAAGTCTAAGCATTTGACTCGGCGCTGCGGAAAAACTGGGCTATTGGATAATCGATCATTTTCCAGAAAGTTCAACTTTATCCAATTTACAGCTGCTGGTTTTTATTTTAATCGTAATATCAAGCACATAGGAAAGGTCTTATTATAGAATAAAATTACACACAAAAATTTTGAACGAAAGTTTTTTTATTATTATTAAAGTTTGAACGTAAACTAGCGAACAAAATAGTACAATTATACGAAATAAGTTTCATTTTTACAATTATTATTTGAATATGCAATTAATAAAGAATTATATGGCTACGCTTACGTTGTATAATTTTCTTAATATAAAATTCACAAATGATTTGATTATCCTCTCACATCATTATTTTAGGAGTAATCTAACATTAGATAGAGTATGGTGATTACCGAAAAAAAAGACTCTAAACAAATCTTAAAGTGTTAAAGTTTGTATTTTTTTTTTTTNTTTNTTAAAGTTTGTATTCAGTTTGCAGAATTTCATCCAAAAGATCCTTCAAACACATAGCTAAAAGACAACAACACCAACAAAATCTCACGTATTCAAAGTCACTGGCCTTTTAATTAGTATACTTTTCGGTTAATCAAAGTACAGTACAGTTATTAAATG